AGTGACTCAAATTACTGGTCTAATTGGAATATATAGGAACATGTGGAAGCATACATACAGAGAGAGAGGCAGGAAGGGTAGTCCTCCTCCATTACATCTGGGAATCATTGCTAGCAATAAACCCTGGAGCACCTTGCCTTACTTTACTCAAAACTAATAAGTAAAATTAGACAGAGCTTTATCTTTCTAATTTTGTATGGTGTTGAAGAAAAATAATATCCTTTGTATATAATATAATGTGTTGTCTCATTATTTGCCTATAGCTGCACAGGTATCTAATCTGTTATAAGGGCAGAACAGTGGCTAAATGGTTAGCACTTCCACATGGTAGTACTGGGGACGATGGTTCAAATCCCAACCATGGCACCACCTGCCTGGAGTTTGCATGTTCTCCCTATGCCTGCGTGGGTTTCTTCCACACTCCAAAGACATGTTGGCGGGTTAATTGAGTCCTGTCTAAATTGGCCCTTGTATGTATGAATGTAGGTTAGGAACTTTAGATTGTTCTCCCCTTGAGGGTTAGGGATTGATATGAATGTACAATATATATGTAAAGTACTGTTTAAACTGATGGCACTATATAAGTACCTGTAATAAATAAATTGAATATGCATTGGGAAATAATAATTTACTGTTTCTTGACATAACAAAACAGAAGGATCATGGAATGCTGTGTCTATATGTATTTCTATAGTAAAGAGCAGAGGTATCCAAATTTTCTAAACAAAGGGCCAGTTTACTGCCTTTCAAACTTTGCATGTGTGGTCAGTGGGAGTAGAAAATGTCCTGGCTTTAGTGGGAATAAACAATGCCCCATGATTGGTATTAGGGGGAATAATAGTGCCTCATTGTTGGAATCATTGTGGGAGGAATAGTGCCCTGCCTTTGGTGTCAATAGGAGGAATAGCACGTCATCATTGGCGTCAAAGGGAGGCATAGTGCCCTATTATTTGTGTCAATTGGAGGATTAGTGCTCCATCATTGGTGTCAGTGGGAGGAATACTGCTCCATTGTCGGTTTCATTGGAAGAAACTATGCCCCACTGTTGCTGACAGTGGGTGGGGTAAATAATGGCCCAAGGGCAAGATAAAAGCATGCAAAGGTCCGTATATGGCTGTAGTTTGGACACCACTGGTAAAGAGGTAACACAAGAAAAGAAAAATTCTAACTGGGAAAACTAAGGTTAATTTACTATAAGCAAATAGACTGTTGCCTTTGCAAGGGAAGTTGCACTTTGCAAGAGACTTTTCCCCAGAGCCTGCTGCCTTCCATCATCCAATCATGTGCAAGCATACATGCTGGTTTGTTTGTTTTTCATCTTCCTTGCATGTGATTGAGTATTCTTTGGAAAGTGAACTTTCACCCTATTCACATTGCACAGTGTAACACAGGGGTCCTCAAACTACGGCCCGAGGGCCACATGCGGCCTGCTGAGGCCATTTTTATCCGGCCCGCCGGCAGGGGCGGCAAAGGAAGGGACACTAAGTACAGGGGTGGGCAGGGGGCTGCTGTACCTTACCTGGCTCCGGTCCCAGTCCCACGACGATCCAGTCCAGGAAGCGCTGCTCCTTCATTCACTCCGGCCACTCCCTCACTCCTGCCGCTCGGCTTCACCTCCTCACCGGTGATTGGGCGTCAGAACTGTAGCTCAGAAAAGGCACACAGGTGGCCAATCACCTGCGAGGAGGCGGAGCCGAGCGGCCCTGCGAACATCGAGTGAGAGGCCGGAGTGAAGAAGGACAGCTGACAGGTAAGTGTGCCGTGCTGATGGTGCTGCTGCAACCAGGTATGCTGGCTGCAGTAGCACCTAGGCTGGGGTCAGCAAGTTACATGTCATTGTCAGTGGGAGGAATAGTGCACCATCATTGGTGTCACTGATACCAGTGATGGGACACTATTCCTCCCACTGACACCAATGTTGGGACACTATCCCCTTCCTCCACTGACTGACACCAATGACGGGGCACTATTCCCCCCCCCCACACTGACACCAACGATGGGGCAATATTCCTCCCCCCACTGACACCAATAATGGGGCACTATTCCTCCCCCCACTGACACTAATGATGGGGGCACTATTCCTCGAACTGACACCAATGATGGGGTACTATTCATCCCACTGACACCAATGATGGGACACTATTCCTCCCACTGACACCAATGTTGGGACACTATCCCCTTCCCCCACTGACACCAATGACGGGGCACTATTCCCCCCCCCCACACACTGACACCAACGATGGGGCACTATTCCTCCCCCCACTGACACCAATAATGGGGTACTATTCCTCCCCCCACTGACACTAATGATGGGGCACTATTCCTCGAACTGACACCAATGATGGGGTACTATTCCTCCCACTGACACCAATGATGGGGCACTATTCCTCCCACTGACACCAATGATGGGGCACGTTTCTTCCCACTGACACCAATGATGGGGCACGTTTCTTCCACTGACACCAATGATGGGGCACGTTTCTTCCACTGACACCAATGATGGGGCACTATTCCTCCCACTGACACTAATGATGGGGCACGATTCTTCCCACTGACACCAATGATGGGGCACTATTTCTCCCACTGACACCAATGATGGGGCACTATTCCTCCCACTGACACCAATGATGGGGCACTATTCCTCCCACTGATACCAATGATGGGGCGCTATTCCTCCCACTGACACCAATGATGGGGCACTATTCCTCCCACTGATACTAATGATGGGGCACTATTCCTCCCACTGACACCAATGATGGGGTACTAATCCCTCCCACTGACACCAATGATGGGGGGCACCATTTCGCTCCATAAGACACACTTGGTTGGTCTGTGCGTCTTATGGAGCGGCCGGCCCAGTATTCCCGCCGCCGTTGTATGTCCGCAGTCTCTGGTCATCTCCTGTACTGTGTCCGCATTTGTTCATAGTTTTTTTTTTTTTTAAACTATAGTCCGGCCCTCCAATGGTCTGAGGGACAGTGAACTGGCCCCCTGTTTAAAAAGTTTGAGGACCCCTGGTGTAACATCTCATTCAAAGGGAAGAGCCTATTTGCCCTTAGTAAATCAGCCCTATTGGTTGTAAAAAAATACCTTTACATGGCTATGGAAGCTTAGTTCCTTTAAGTCTGGGGCACCAGGAGGCTTTATAAGGAACCTCTCCATGCCTCTTACTAACTCAACAAGTCTGCTGTCTTATGCAGTACGAGTCTCAGGACTGTATCACATAACAAGTGACTTGGTGCGACAGAAAGGGATCAACCAACAGAGCATACTGCCTGTAACAGGAACTTTCCAGAGGTCACATTACGTGTTAATGTTAGGATTTCCCAGTACAGTGTAATCACAACTGCTAAATATTTGCTCAAAGTATTGCAAGTTCTGGCCTCGGAAGCAATGTTTCACTTACCATCGGAAGTCATGAGATGGTGTATTATTTTTCTAATTTGTCACGTATATGTAGTTGTGATTGTTTGAAGGGATGGGGTGTTAATATACTAGCATGTACAGAGCTGACCATGTCTATTGACTAAAAACTTCAAGAAAATAGCAGAATGTGAAGCATATTTATCAGTCAATTACTCAGAAGAGAATTAAGAAGCATAGCAGTCAATCAAGTAGCATTTTAACAATAAGGTGGTATAGTACCACTTTTTTTTTTTTTTTTTTTTTTAATGACAGGTTCTCTTTAGTGTTTATCAATAGTTGTGATATTTAAGGGATACTTTGGCCTTTTTAAAATGTATACTTTGCCTAAGGTAAGTAACTTAACATGAAAGTATGTTAGCTATTTATAGTTTTTAATGTTACACTGTATGAGGGCAATCATAATTTCTCATTGCATGTTCAGGCTCTGCTTCCTGACTGGTAATGGATCACATGGATTGTGCTTTACTGTTCCACTTACCTCCAAACATCAACCAAAAAGATGTACTCACTATATTTTCCATTTCTGAGAGGAAAGCAGAGCAGTTGATCATGGCCGCAAACCACCAGGGACAGGTCATAGGTTCAATTATTTCCCTACTCCAGGGCAAGTTTTCTCTGGAAGTTTAAAAAAAAAAAAAAAAGTTGCAATATTTACCTTCTATTCAATTCTGTCCCCAACAGTAATTGCTTGTTGTCACAAGATATACTCTCTCTTTTGGGTTGAATGGTGCCCATTCAATCCAGAAGACTGAGGACCTGCTGTGAGTGTTGGGGGCATGGGCTGATCCCCTTGGGGGGTTGTCATCACAGTGCCATGCACTGATAGTACTCAGTGTACTGATACAGAGAGCAGTGCTGATATCATCATGTCTGCATACATCAATGGACGGCTGCTCATCACTGGGAGAAGATCCGAAGAGGTCTGGGTGTCACATGACCTGCCTGGGAAGATTTACAAATCTAGGTTTTCAGTAGAAGTTATCGCCTGATTGGGGATGGTAGTTTCAGCAGATGTCTTTATAGTGTTCCCATAAGTAAATAGCATGTGACTAATAAAACATGTAGGACGGCTGATTCTTCCTCTATATTGTACCAGACCCTCAAATTATTTCTGTTCAAAGTGTTATTGCTATAAGTTACAGCTCTTTGCAGTTTGCTATTTGCCTTATGTAATAATTATATACAGAAGTTGTGTAAGGGTTACGTTCTGTAACTAAGCTGGGTTAAACTGTTTGTTTGTGGTTATCCTGCCAACTCTATATATAGTAAATGTTGGATGAAACTCAAATCAGCAGGCATATCAAGCAAGTATGACTGACCTCATGTACATAACTGTATCTCAAGAAAAACTATAGATTATCTTTTATGATTTTTCAAGCCAAAATAACAAGATAAAAAAGAAATAACACATTTGTCCATTTGCTAGTGCCTTATGACATGCCAGGGAAAGCAAAATGCACATTATTTATAATGGTGTTGTATATGTGCTTTCTCCACAGACTGACCCTGTGAGGCTTTTGTTGCAAGTTTACCGGCTTCCTCTTGGTCCACCAACCCCTCCACAATCAAAGAAGATGGAGCGATCCACACAAGAGCTTTTCCTTAACTTCATGATCGTGTTGATCACTGTACTGTTGATGTGGCTTCTTGTCAAGTCATACCTAGAGTAAATGGACTACATGATGATTCTTAGATGCACCTAAGTCTTCAATTTCAGCCCCTTCAGTGCCGAAGAGCATCTTTTCACCAGTCTTCCTCTGCACTGAAAGGGCTGTGTGCACAAGTCAACGGCACCGCTACAGTTTGTACATAACATCTGTACATACAATTCCCTGATCAACCGCGACCTCATTTACTAGAACCAAAGAGAGTTCTACCCTCATGCACACTTTGCTTCTAGAAGATAAACACTGTCCAAAATTCAGTCAACTGATGCATTTGAATGTCATGAAAAGCCTATGAAGCTCAGATGGATGTACTGTGCTTCTTTCACCCCAAGTCAACAACATGAATGCCATCTTATCAAGTCTTCTGTTTGAGCCCCCATAATAAAATACACAATGGGACACAACTTGTTTTCAACTGAATAAACTGAAAAGTTGAAACGACTCATGTGTTGTTTGTAATTTAGGATTATTAATAGCATGATTTACACTCCCAGAAATCATGGATGCTTGAAGAGGAACTTCACCCTCCATCCCATTTATTTTTATTTATTTATTATTCCTACTTATTTGATGCTGGGTTCTGCATAGTTCAAATACTCACCAACCCAGGGGATCCAGCATTGTCCTGCTGAGATCATCTTCTCTGTAGCCACTTCTTGGGTCCCATGCAGACATATTCTCCTGCGACATCATCAGGAGTCTTCCAGCTCTTCTAGGTTTCGGTGCAGCCTCCTGACCCCACCTCTCCTCTTCCTTTAATGACTGAAAAGAGGTGCAGTGCTCCTGGTACCTCCTGGAATATACAAGTCACATATTCCAGGAGGCACTGGGGGACTGCACATAATTCGCATAGGTGAGTAGGAAGCATGGGGAGCTGGATCAAAACCTTTGCACTAAAGAAAGAAGTCAGCAAAAAAAAGACAGTAATTTCTGTAGTGGAGTTGGGGAGGGATGAAGAGGAGATAATTTCATAATGAGGGTGAAGATCCGCTTTAAAGTGTACTTCTAGTCAAATATTTCTGGTTTCATCTTGAAAAGAGAATGGAAAGGTAAACACTCTTGCCAGTTTTTTTTTTATACCTGTCTGTGTCCCATTGGAAGGATTTTCTTCTCTTTACTGAAAATACAACTGAAAGTGTGAGTAAACATCTCCAAAGTGTTGGGAATTCCTCTATTAGATAGTTGTCAGTGGAATAGATGCCTCAGTTGAAAGATTTCTTCTTAGCCCCTAAACCAATGACAACTGTATGATTTCCCACAGCTGTCCGGTGATGACAGTCACCAGGGCAAACTGAGAGGGAGATTCAGTCAAATGGTAAAACAGATAGCAATAAAAACTTAATAAGGATTCTAACTACTTTGCTACTGCTTTTGGGTGGAAAACAAATCCCATAAAAGTTGAGGCAATAATGGGTCATGTTAGTGAATACATTGTATTGCCCCATATTACTACAGTAATCAACATGTATCCATTGAGAGTTTTTACCAAATGCACCCTGGAATCCTTTATTAATAGCTAGAGCCACTGGGTAAGGGAAGTCTACGGTAAACGTCTTGGACTACAAAAAGAAAATGGAGGTGATCTTATCCTTTTTTAGACATTTTACAGATTGGATAAATTATTTCCAGTACATAAACTAAAAGATGGGACTTCAGGGAAATGGGGGCTTGGAGGAAAATGCTTCCCTTGGGCCAGTCTGGTTTCAATTAGTATTAGCCTTCAGATAGGAATGGAGGACCTCTTTCAAGGATGATTTTGTTTGACTGTAAACATGAACACATAACTCAATTACTAAGGGCCCAAGTAGCCATAATGCTTGTGCTAGCTATTCTGATACAAATGGATTACAATAAAAGGGCTCATCAGGGATTCAATCCACAGAGGAGACCTATGGGGTCCCCAGACATTCAGTGGAAAAAAGAGGCTACTGTAACTGGTTTCTTTACTTCAGGAATGTCTATAGAGGGGCCAGCTCCTCATCAAGAAAAGTAAATGATCAGGGAGCATAGCAGTCGATAGGTTGTTGGCACTAATTTTGTCTCACTGAGTTTTGTGTATAATAATGGCAGGGATCTGAGTAATAAAGATGTACTCTTAAGGAGAGATTGCAAATGCAACACCAATTCTCAGCCAAGTTTTAACAGACATAAACAATGGACAAGTGAGTAAAACAAAACTGTAGATAAAAGAGGGAAAAATGTTTCTGCAATGTATAGTCCACTCAGCACTGCCTGGTCAAAACATCAGGTGTGTAAGCAACTTTGACTTATGTTTCCTAACACCCTGACTCACAGCTCCAACCGGGAGGAAAAAATGGTAGTTCAGGGCAACATCACCATACCACCTAACAATGCAGCACTTTGAGCAGCCAATGGCCAGACTTGAGCACTGTCACATGGGAGTCTGTGGAACATGCATAATTTGTAGTTTTACTTTCTCACAAAGTTGAAACATACACCAAACGTCTGGGCACTCTGTATCAATGTAACAGGGGTAAGCTTCTAAATGCTCTTGATAAACTAGGTCTCTTTGTCAGCCTACCTTTATTAATTAGCATTACCAAAATCCTTGGTGAACATGAACAGCTGTTAGGAAACCTAATCTCAGATTCTTGACATGAGGCTGGCAGCGGAAGAAAATGAGTGGTGAGTAAGTGGTGACCTTTTCCATGTGAAGTATGTTGAACTATTTAGCTTCAAAACATGAGAAGGATGCACACACTTAAATTTTGTATTCGATGTATTCAGAATGCCCAGAACTATAAAAGCTAATTATTTTTAGAACACATAGGGGGCATTTATAAAACTCTGACAGATTGAACTATATGCAGTTTCTAGGCTTTGCTTATTTTACACAAAGTGTATTTTTCCTAAATTATTTCATCATAACTATAAAAGTTCTATTAATAGATACATTAAGGCCTTCATCACACTGATGATCACCGAGTTACCAAATGCTGCTATCACTTTACCTAACAGAAGTTGCTCTCTTGCTTGCCAAAACTCTGCAGAACCTCACTTGCTAGAAAGGGATACTGTGACATCTATCCGGTCCAGCCAGGGAAGGAACAATACCCTCGGACAGGGGTGGGCAACTGTGGCCCTCCAGCTGTTGGTGAACTACAAGTTCCATCATGCCTCTGCCTTCATGCTTGTAACTGTCCGTTTTGCAATGCCTCATGGGACTTGTAGTTCTACAACAGCTGGAGGGCCACAGTTGTCCACCCCTGCCCTAGGAGAAATTATGAGGGCTTATGTTACATGAGCTACTACTATATCCCTAATAAAACCCCTGCCACCAGAAAGATGGAATTGGAAATAATTATTGCACCAGCCTCATACCTGCAGAAGCCTAAGAATAAGCACCATCATGGCTAAACCTTTCAAAAACTATAATGTTGCCAATAATTATATATATAAAGAGATAATAGGTCCCCATTACAGATACCTGACTCTCAGAATTTATGGGAGACTTACCACTTTTTTTTAACTTCAACAGGCTAGTCACTCTATGTGAAGTGCTTCAATGAAACCATAGAAATACCTGCAGGTTACTGCGAAGAAAAAATAGTGGTGAGTTTTACCTGCAGTGTGCAGTCCAACCCCAGGGAACTCAGTACACCTTGCTGTCTGTATTGTTCCTCACCGTCCTCTGGAATTCTAATCCCTGAGGGGATACCCCATAAGACTGGTGTTGGGTACTGCCATCTTGGATTCATAGCTGTCATTCAAGTGACACTTTTTAGTATATCTTTTCACTCCTCCCCCGGCTTCTACCTTTAATGCTAGGTAGGGAGGTGAGGGGAAGGAGCTAGCCCGGGACAGAGAGTCATTAGAAATTCTCAGAAGCGGCGAGAACTATGATGTGCAAGAAGGTACAAGGGAACTTTACTGGAGAATTGACTTTCTGAAGAAGTCAAATTTGCTAGCAAGTTTAGAGACACATTGCAGCTGAATAAAAAATATTTTATAGAAAGGAAAAATGCTGAAAGTATACATAAAAATACTTGCTTTTTCTGTGATTTTACCTGCAATTTTTTAGGCTGGTGACAGGGTCACTTTAAGTGCAGAACTGTCAATGACTGGACTGTACCTTTAAAATGCCAGTCTATCCAAAACTTAAAGCAGAGGTCCAGTCGGAATTAAAAAAATAAAAGTCCGCAGCTACAAAAACTGCAGCTGTTGACTTCTAAAAAATGGACAGTCACCCGTTCCTCGATCCCACGGAGTCCTCACACCAGCTAAGTTCACTGGCCTTCTTGTCTCCTCAGTGCTGACATCTTCAGTGTGGGCACCCGGGTACCCACTGCACATGCGTGAGTAGCACTGACTTTTTGTGAATGGTCCCGTAGTCTTCTGGTTCCAGAAGACTATGGGAAGGGAGGGGCAACTTCCACTTCCAATCACCTAAGCTATCGAAGCCAAAGTGGGAGCAGGTACCTGTCAAATTCGGGTACCCCCTCCCCCCCTGCTTCCCAAAGGTGCCGATCCTTAATGGCGAGTAGAGGACACAGCAATAAAGCGGAACGTCCCTTTTGGGTGGAGCTCTGCTTTAAATCCATGTCACAATTTCCATTGTCTCTTTGTAAATCTAGTGGTGTGAGGTATCAATCATTATGTAGGATTTAATGTTGTGGACAGTGCAACATGAAGGTTAGGAACACCTCTGTTGAGGCAGAGCACTCCAAGGTGAGCACTGGGCAGCAAATACCAATAAAATCTGTGATATGGAAATCTTGTGGCTGGCCCAAGAAAGTCCAAAAAGTCAGCAGGTGACATATCCCTCCAGCCTTTGTCTACAACTGCAATATCACTTCTGGCTGGATTGATCCTTTCAATTATTCAAAATGCCCACTTCAGCTGCAAAGATGCCACTTGTGTTCAAAGCAACATAAAAAATACTCCACTCTGTGCAAGTTATTTATCCATTCAGTGTCATGTCATCAGCTTATTTGTCTTTGTATTGCTAATTAAAGAAGTTAGGAATGACAGTTGTCTTGCAG